CAAAAAATGTGGAGCATTTGAGCTCTAGTAAGTCTAAAAATAAATGTAAACATCAATTAATAATAACTGATGTTATATATATATTATATATATAAACCAATTTGTTGCAATATTCACTATAAAAGGTTGTAAGGGTAAGATGGCTAAAAGTGAATAATTTAAAAGATAGTTAACATAATTTTACATAAACTGAAATATTTCATAAAATAAAATATTTGTAATATTTCGAAGTTTATGTAAGATTATGTAAAAATTATACCTTTACAACTTTTTATAGTAAATATTGCGAGGAATCGATTTATATGAGAAAAATTAAGGTAATTCTATTTTGAAAATATAAGTGACCTTTAAATAACCTTGAAAATCGCCGTTTAGGAAAAAGTCTGTGTCAACTTTTTCTTTTTCGAAATCCTGCAACTTTTATCTAAATTTAATAGAAAATGTATAAAAAATGCTCGACATTAGTACACACACACACACACACACACACACACATATGGGTAAATTTATATAAATAGGGTGCTTTAGGAGGAATGATCAGGATTCTAGGATATGATTGTACACATCATTTTAAGCAAAGAAGTTTAGATAAACATGTTTAATAATTGTTCTATTCCGGTCATAAAAATATACAAAAATGAATGATATAATCTCTAAAAACTCACCTTTAAAAAAAGGTAAAAAAAGGCGACCAGTTAAGGGCACGCCATTAACAAAAATTATCCATTGCAAACCCATGTAGAATCCTATCCTATTGCAAACCCATGTAGAATCCTATGAAAAATTAATCATTGCAAACCCATGTAGAATCCTAGGCAAAATTAACCATTGCAAACCCATGTAGAATCGTACCCATTGCAAACCTATGTAGAATCCTATGAAAAATTAACCATTGCAAACTCATGTAGAATCCTATGAAAAATTAACCATTGCAAACCCATGTAGAATTGTATTAAAAATTATCCATTGCAAACTTATGTAGAATCCTACATTGCAAACCCATGTACAATAGAATTGTATGAAAAATTATCGATTATAAACCCATGTACAATCGTAACAAAAGTAATGAAATAAAAAAAAATTGCGCCAAGTGAAAGTAGAAACTTGTACCAGTGGAAAATTAAAGTTGCAGACATATATAGAGTCGTATAATGAATCAGTAAAAATTTAAATTTGCAAATGTAGAATCGTACCATAAAAAAACTTATCTTTTAAAAAAAAGATAAACAAGATGCCAAGTCCATGCGCCATGTGAAAAAGAAATAAAAAAATTTTAGTTAAAAAAACTGGGAGCGCTGCTAAATAATATTCTAACAATATTAAAATTAAATTGTTACTTTTAAACTCATTACAGTTAAAATATGTTTTGTGTTTAAATTAATTAATGTTACTTTAAGGTGCATTGTAATTTTGAAACTTAGCAGCGCGCCCAGTTTTTTTAACTAAAATTTTTTTATTTCTTTTTCACATGGCGCATGGACTTGGCATCTTGTTTATCTTTTTTTTTAAAAGATAAGTTTTTTTATGGTACGATTCTACATTTGCAAATTTAAATTTTTACTGATTCATTATACGACTCTATATATGTCTGCAACTTTAATTTTCCACTGGTACAAGTTTCTACTTTCACTTGGCGCAATTTTTTTTTATTTCATTACTTTTGTTACGATTGTACATGGGTTTATAATCGATAATTTTTCATACAATTCTATTGTACATGGGTTTGCAATGTAGGATTCTACATAAGTTTGCAATGGATAATTTTTAATACAATTCTACATGGGTTTGCAATGGTTAATTTTTCATAGGATTCTACATAGGTTTGCAATGGGTACGATTCTACATGGGTTTGCAATGGTTAATTTTGCCTAGGATTCTACATGGGTTTGCAATGATTAATTTTTCATAGGATTCTACATGGGTTTGCAATAGGATAGGATTCTACATGGGTTTGCAATGGATAATTTTTGTTAATGGCGTGCCCTTAACTGGTCGCCTTTTTGTACCTTTTTTTAAAGGTGAGTTTTTAGAGATAAATTATTTACCACGTTCTATCTTTCAAGTGCACAGAAAAAAGTTGTAATTTTTGCTAGTTCTTAATTACATTTGCTGCGCATGCCGTGACAAATTCTTATACCTGTATCTTAGTGAAAACCAGCAATAAGACTATAAAATTTGGGGTCAAATTTAATAATAAAGAACAGACCGTCCGTAGTGTGGAAACGTCTCTCGTGTACATCAAACACACATCTGTGCTCTTTGTAATCGGCAGACTCATTTCGTGTACTGCAAAAAGCAAGGAATTAATTACGCGAATAGTATATTGCAATCACTTTAATTTATATTCCTTTCTTGTGTTTCGTTTTTCATAATGTCTGATTGTAAGATAACGAGCTTACCAGAAGAGATCATAGCCATCATTCTCGGCTATAATGTTATCACTATTGAAGATATCATTAACTTTCGATGCGTGTGCAAGAAATTTCGTTATGCAGCAACCACATATAACAAGTTCTTGGAAAAAAAGTTATTTCAGAAGTAATTCTTGTAATTTGTAAATCTTTTTGTTATTTTGTCTCATTAACGCCTGTCGCACAATGTATATCACTTCTGCGAAGAACGTATATTATAAATATATAACAAATACAAAATATTAGAAAAATTAGATATGTTGCATATTAAATTATTCGCTTTCATTTTTTCTATTGCTCAATAATTTTGGCAAACTCTACCCGTTATATATATACATATATAATATACATATACATATATATATATATATATATATGGATGTAAACGTTAAATATAATATTCTGATAAGAACTCTTAATTTTCGGCTGTCATAAATTAAAAGACCAAATATTTTTCAACCGACATTTGTTAATTGATGTTTATTTAATTAATCACACAATGTTTTGACCACGGTGTTTCGACCATATAATTTTGGTCCTTCGCACACTTAACAGTAACGTTTGAGAATAACAAAAATTATAAGAAACGTTGTGTGATTAATTAAATAAATATTAATTAGCCTATATATATATATCGGTCGAAAAATATTCAGTCATTAAATAATTTTTTTTTAAATTTAATTATTAAAAATACAACATAAAAGTAACTTGGTTTATTTATTATAATGTGTATTCTTCAATATATTTAATTGCATTTTTAAATATAAAAATTATATATATGATATATATTTGTGATAGAAACAAACAGATTTGATATTTTTCTATCGGTTCTTTTTTATAAATAGCATTGAATTCACAATAAAATCTTTATAAAAGTAAAAACGTGCCATATAACATATATAAGCACAGTCGACATTGTATGTAAATATGCTTTTGAAAAAATTATTGTACAAAATATTTAAAAAGAAACTTAATATATACATACATACACACACGCACATTAATGTTTACTAATTCCATATAGAATACGAGTACACGTATAGAATTACGAAATATACATATTAAAATCAAAATTTGAAAATATAGTTTTAATATACTTTTAAGAATATGTAGTTAAAAAATAAATTTAAAACAAATGTTATTCATCCAAGTATAAATTTATTACAAATTAATATTGAATGTTACATATTTTAATTTTTCTGATTAAAGTATAAAAAGAATTGACATACATGTACTCATGCTTTAAATTGTATACTTCAAAAAATTTATTAATTTGAAACATTACTTGTGCAATCACATTGTTTACTATCATCAAAGTTTGCTGTGTGTTATCTAAATAAAATTAAATAGAAGAACTATGGCGTCATCTTATCTGCATATAGATAATAAAAATATGTATTATCTTTTATATTTGCATCTTACAAGTAGATAAAAAAAAAGTACTACTTTTACTATATTATTTATCTAATAATATTCAAATAATTTTGGTTTAGAATCATAGCACATAAGAATACTTAAAGTAGACAGAAAAGCGATAAAAATTTATAAATAAAAATATAAATATATTGTTGTATCCGTTTTATAATTTATATTTTTTGTATAACTGTGTTTACATAAACAGCCTTAAAAATTATTATCTAAACAATTATCTAAATAATTCGTCATATAATTATATCTTTTATCTAGATATACTTAAAACAAAATCATCTTTATCCTATCTAAGATGAATTTTCATACTTTTATCTCACCTTTATCCAGCTAATTTTAAAATAATCTTGACACAACACTAAGTATCATTATCAAATATTTATTACAATATTTTATGGTCATATTTCAGATGGCCCTTTACGAAGAAAAGATATGAAAGACTTAAAAAGAAGAAAATGAAGAAAACATAAACTTTGTTACAATGGGCATAAATTCTGCGACACAATTACGAAATTATTTGTCTCTAATTCTTTTTCATGATTATTATTACAATAAAAAATCAAATCAAAATTATTTCGATGATTCAATTAATAATGTAGTATTGGAATTCGATGATGTAAAAAAATTCAGTGGTAATATCGATAAATATGCAAACCGTTTGAATGAAAATCTACTTGTTTTTAAACGTATAAATAAGCCTATAAATGTGCTGAAATATATGTTTTATATTGAGGAGATTAAATGCTTGTTAACACAATTTCCACAGTATGATCTTCATATATGTTATAATGCTACTATTATTACAATTTTTATTGTATTTATTCATTAATTAATAATTTAATATGTATAAATTTTTTAGGAAAATTGATTGCAATTCAATCCAAGAATTTTGTAATATAGAAATGTCTCACTATGAGAAGCTATCTTCGATACGAAATGAGTTGGACAGATATAAAGTAAAACTTGAACGAGTTCAGCTATTGGAAGAAGTTTGTACTTTCATAGCACAAGGTATTCAACCTCGAAAAGATGTATGTTACACGAATGTAAGTGCATCATTGGATTCAATCGCACAAGAGGTACTGAATTGTCTCAGAGTGAAGCATCCGAACCATTCGATATTCTCCACTTCTGAAGAAACTTTTTCCTATTGGAAACCAACAATATCGCAGATAATCAATGGGATGAAACAGAAAGTACGCAGATTATGAATACACTCCAGGAATATATATTTAGCATCTTGAACTTTCGAGCATGTATCTCCTCATTTGCACCCGAAGATATCAAATGGATTTGTATAGATTATGTAAGTTATTAGAGATTATAATATATATAATTATGGACCATATATGTATATATTATATACTGTTCTTAATATTCTCTCGCTTTGATCAATTTGTTCTGTATTATACCTGGCTCAGGTTTTACAAACCAAATATGGTCAAGATATCATTGTATATGCAATATTTCATAGCGTGGCTAGAAGGCTTGGTCTACGTTGCGATGTACTACAGGTTTTTAATCGATTCTGTGTATTTTGGAAACAAAAATGGTAAGTATAGATATATATTTAGAATCGACATTATCATTATTTCTCGATAATTTTTCTTTTCTTATTATACGCATACGTATATAATTTTTTTTTTTTTTTTTCATATGATTAAGATAAAATTTTAATTGTTTACAGCGTCACGAATAATTTCGAAAATGCACGATGTTTTTATATAAAAGACGAGAATTTTCCGAATTGTCTTCATGATTATCTATCAGATTACAAGTCTTGTACACATCATGACATCATCAAAATAAGAACTGAACAGGTTAAAACTTATTTATTACTTCTATTAATTTTAAGTTATTAATATATTTGTAAATTGACAAGGAATTAATAAATTACATTTTATGTGTATAGAAAGAAGAGAAATGTACATTTCTCATTTTTTAATTTATAATTAGATCCTTGTTTACATTTAATCTTTATTCATGTTTAATTAACTTTTTCAGATGTTGGACATGATAAAAGATTTTGTTGAATTGTTTATATCGGGACAAAATAAGCAATTTGGGATTAGTTCCAAAGTGAATTGTAATGTGTAAAAAACATACGCGCCCTAACATAATCGCTAGTTAGTGTATAACATATACCATTGTAAAAATAAAGGGCATTGTGAGATATTTTCAGATAACAATTATGTATAATTTACAATTTTCTATATTAACTTGAATTAAGTGTTTATTGAGACATTTATTCACAAAAAATCAAAGTAAAAATTTTACAGTTTCTGTCTTATTTTAAATAGTAGAACACATAAATGAAAACGTGAAATATGCTGTAGAAATTATCATAATATATAATCCACCTACAGATCAATCTACAGATTCAGACCAACATAATAGATAATAGGATGTTATTGACATATACATATATACATACATGTTCGACAATTGAGAATCAACGATGAATAAATATATCTATTATTTTTCTGCGATATTTATTGTATAAATTATCATAAATAATAAAGTAAGAAAATTTTGTGACTGCAACAATTTGAATTGGTGCAAAAAATTAATAAATCTTAAAATAAAAAATTAATTAATTTAATAACTTTTTTTAACACTTTAAGTATATGCAAAATATGACGTAATAAATTTGCCATCTATTAATATCTATTATTTTGAAACTTATATAATCGATAGTGTGTTGCATTTGTATAAGTATAAATAGGTACGTTAATAAAAGACAATGATTTTTATATTTTCAAATATACATAATTTTTTTGTATTGAAAGAGACGATAAAAGCTTATAAATGATATTAGATTTTGTATGATATTAGTATAATTGCAAATTTATTGCAAATTCATGCAAATCTAAAATTGCTGTGCAAAAATTTGTCAAGTTTTGTATTTTGAACAAAAAATAACCGTCACGCGTTAGGTAAAAGTATTTTTTCATTTTTGTTCCAAACTCATTATTTGCGATCCATATTTCTCTCTTATCCATGATTTTCACAAAATTATTAAAACTCCAAATTAAAATAAAAAGTCGACACAATGCACAGCACTGCAGTTGTAAAGTGTAAAATAAATATATTAAAATTAGTAAATTTTAATAAAATAATTAATAATTTAAATGATATTATTTTCATTAAACTTAAATATTACATAATATATATAAATACATGAAAATTAGTGAAATTTAAAATAATTGACAAATTTGAAAAATATATTATTTTAATTAAGCTTAAATAATAAAAAGAACAATAAATAAATAAATAGTGATAATAAATTAAATAATAAATGAATTATTTACCACGTTCTATTATACTAGTGCATAGGAAGAAATGGTAAATTTGCTAGTTCTAAATTACATTTTCTGCGCATGCCGTGCCAAGTCCTTATATACCTGTATCTTATTGAAAATTAGTAATAATACTTTAAAATTTGAGGTCAAATTTAATAATAAAGAGCAAAACGTCTGCAGTGTGGAAAACGTCTCTCGTGTACATCAAACACACATCTGTGCTCTTTGTAATCGGCAGACGCATTTCGTGTACTGCGAAAAGCAAGGGATTAATTACGCGAATAATATATTGCAATCAATTAATTTATATTCCTTTTTTGTGTTTTGTTTCTCATAATGTCTGATTATAAGATAACGTGCTTACCAGAGGAGATGATAAGCCACATACTCAACGATAATGTACTCACTATTGAAGATATCATCAACTTTCGATGCGTGTGCAAGCAATTTCGTTATGCAGCCAAATATGACAAGTTCTTGGAAAAAAGTTATCTCAAAGGTAATTCTTGTGATTTGTAAATCTTTTTGTTATTTTGTCTCATTAACGCCTGTCGCACAATGTATATCACTTCTGCGAAGAACGTATATTATAAATAAATATATAATAAAAAATATTCAAAAAATAGATATGTTGCATTTATGTTGCATATTAAATTATTCGCTTTCGTTTTTTTCTCAATTTGCAAACATTGCTCAATAATTTTAGCAACTCTACCTACATTATATATATACATATATATATACATATACATATATATATATATATATATATATATATGGAATGTAAACGTTAAATATAATATACTAATAAGAATTCTTAATTCTCGGCTGTCAAGAATTAAAAGACCAATATTTTTCAACCAACATTCGTCAATTGATGTTTATTTAATTAATCACACAACGTTTCGACCACGGTGTTTCGACGATATAATTTTGGTCTTTCGCACACTTAACAGTAACACTTGAGAATAACAAAAATTATATGAAACGTTGTGTGATTAATTAAATAAATATTAATCAGCCTATATATATATATATATATATATATGTCGAAAAATATTCTGTCATTATATTATTTTTTTTTAGATTTTATTATTAAAATACAACATAAAAGTAACTTGGTTTATTTATTATAATGTGTATTCTTCAATATATTTAATTGCATTTTTAAATATAAAAATTATATATATGATATATATTCGTGATAGAAACAAACAGATTTGATATTTTTCTATCGGCCCTTTTTCATAAATAGCATTGAAATCGCAATAAAATCTTTCTAAAATTAAAAACATGCCAAGTGACATATATAAGCACAGTCGACATTGTTTGTAAATATGCTTTCGAACAAATTGTTCTACAAAATATTAAAAAAAACTTAATTTATACATACATACACATAGGCACATTAATGTTTATTAACTGCATACAGAATACACTTATAAAATTATGCAATATACATATTGAAATCAAAATGTGAAAAGTATAAATTAAATTACAAATTAAAATTAACTTATATATACTTTCTTTTTCTGATTAAAATACAAAAAGAAATGACATATATATATACTCATGCTTTGAATTGTCTACTTCAAAAATTTATTAATTTGAAAAATTATTTGTGCAATCATATTGTTTACTATCATCAAAGTTTGCTGTGTGTATCTAAATAAAATTAAATGGAAGAACTGTGGCGTCGTCTTATCTGCATATAGATAATATAAATATGTATTATCTTTTTATCTGCATCTTACAAGTAGATAAAAAAAAGTACTACCTTTACTATATTATTTATCTAGAATAATTTTCAGATAAATTTGGTTTAGAATCATAGCACATAAGAATACTTAAAGTAGACAGAAATACGATAAAAATTTATAAATAAAAATATAAATACATATATTGTTGTATCTCTTTTATAAGGGATCCTTATCTTTTTAGGATCTTTATCCAGCTAATTTTAAATTAATCTCGACACAAGACTAAGAATCATTATCAAAAATTTATTACAATATTTTATGGTCGTATTTTAGATGGCCCTATGCAAAGAAAAGATATGATGTTCTTAAAAAAACAAAGGATGGAGAAAACCTAAACTTTGTCACAATAGGCATAAATTCTGCGACACAATTGCGAAATTATTTGTCTCTAATTCTTTTTCATGATTATTATTACAATAAAATATCAAATCAAAATTATTTCAATAATTTAATTAATAATGTAGTATTGGAATTCTATTATGTAAAAAAATTCAGTGATGATTTCGTTGAATGTGCAAAATGTTTGAATGAAAATAAACTTGTTCTTAGACGTACACGTAAGCCTATAAATGTGCTGAAATGTATGTTTTATATTGAGGAGATTAACTGCTTGTTAACACAATTTCCACAGTAGGATATTCATATATATTATAATGCTACTATTATTACAATTTATTGTATTTATTCATTAGTTAATAATTTAATATATATAAATTTTTTAGGAAAATTGATCGCAATTCAATCCAAAAATTTTGCAATATAGAAATGTCTCACTATGAAAAGCTATCTTCGATACGAAATGAGTTGGACAGATATATAAAGAAACCTGAAAGAGAACAGCTTTTGGAAGAAATTTGTACTTTCGTGGCAAAATATATTCAAGTTCAAAAAGATGTATGTTACACAAATGTAAGTGCATCATTGGATTCAATCGCACAAGAGGTACTGAATTGTCTCAGAGTGAAGCATCCGAACCATTCGATATTCTCCACTTTTGAAGAAACTTTTTCCTAATGGAAAACCAACAATATCGCAGATAATCATTGGGATGAAACAGAAAGTACGCAGATTATGGATACACTCCAGAAATATATATTTAGCATCTTGAATTTTCGAGCATGTATCTCCTCATTTCCACCCGAAGATATCAAATGGATTTGTATAGATTATGTAAGTTAGAGATTATAATATATATAATTATGGGCCATATATGTATATATTATATATTGTTCTTAATATTCTCTCGTTTTGATCAATTTATCCTGTATTATACCTGGCATAGGTTTTACAAAGTAAATTTGGTAAAGATATCATTGTATATACAATATTTCATAGGGTGGCTAGAAGACTTGGTCTACGTTGCGATGTACTAGATATTGAAAATGAATTCTATATATTCTGGAAACCAGAATTGTAAGTATAAATATATATTAGAATTGACATTATTATTATTTCTCAATAATCTTTCTTTTTTTATTATACGCATGCATATATAATTTTTTATTATAAAAATGTTCATAATGATTAAAGTAATATTTTAATTGTTTACAGCGTCACGGATAATTTAAAAAATGCACGAAACTTTTACATAACAAACGAGGATTACCCGAATTGTCTTACTGATAATAGATTAAATTGGCGACCAGCCTTAACAATTAGAAAGGTTGAAAATTACTTATTTATTACTTCTAATAATTTTAAGTTATTAATATAGTTGTAAAATTACAAAGAACCAATAAATTACACTAAATATGTATAGGAAGAAGAGAAATGTGCAATCTCTTATTTTTTAATTTATAATTACATTTTTGTTTACATGTCGTCTATATATTCATGTATAATTAATTTTTTTAGATGTTGGAGTTCACAACAAATATCGTTGACGCATTTATAAGGGCACATATATATATAATAAGAAAATGGCTTTTATATGAAGATAATTAAATAGAGCATTATATAAGATCTTCTGATATGATTAAAATGTATTGTATGTTTTGTAATCATATTATGATGATAGGGTATTATGAATGCAAGTTATATATACATATGATGCAAAATGTGAGTAATTATATTAATTTGAGCATATTTATATATACTCATAATGACGTATTTTGCAAACAGTTTCAAGATATCATAATATGTCCGTGTTTTGAGTAGTATATGAGCCTGCATCTGTGTCTATTTTTGTCATCATGTTTTAAGAAATATGAGTACAATATGAGTAAAGTACATCCGCGCACTAACAATCGCATATTAGTATATAATATATATACAATTGTAAAAATATTGAACGTTGTGAGATTCTTTTAGATAACAATTCTTTTAAATAACAATATGTATAATTTACAACTTTTTATAATTTAACGTGGTTAAGTGTTTATTCAGACATTTATTCACAAAAAATCAATTAAAGTACAAATTTTACAGTTTGTGTCTTATATTTTGTTTCAAATAGTAGCACAAATAAATAAAAACGTAAAATATGCCATAGTTGCATGGACCAACATAATAGACAGATGTTATATTGACATATACATGTATATACACGTATATGTTCGACTTCTGTAGAGAAATACTATGTCCCATTTTTGTATGCAATATCAATTGAGAATCAACGAATAAAATATATTTATTGTTCTCTGCTTTATTCATTGTATTAATTAATATAAACATTAAAATAAGAAAAATTGTAATTGCAAGAATTTGAATTAGTGCAGAAGAATTAATAAATCTTGAAAATAAAAAATTTAATTAGTTTAATAACTTTTTTTAACACTTTCAATATATGCAATATAAACAATAAAATTAGAAAAATTGTGATTGCAAGAATTTGAATTGGTGCAGTAAAATTTATAAATTTAAAAATGTTTAAAAATTAATTAATTTATGAACATTTTTTTAATACTTTAAGTATATGCAAAATATGACATAATTAAAATTTACCATTTATTAATATCCAATATTTTGAAACGTTTGTCGACGATAGTGTTGCATTTGTTTAAGTAAAAACAGGTATATTAATAAACAACAATGTTTAATAAAAGACAAATTTTTTATATATCTGAAAATATAAAAAACACATAATTGAGAAACACATGCTTACAATTAGTAATGAGACAGCAAATGTACTCCGCATTTGGGCACAGAACACATTTAATGTCATTAAAATGTAACACTTTAATTTCCGTTTCTTTTAAACTTCTGTTAGGACACTCATCTTGTACTTTATTTTTCAAAAATAAATTTATTAATTTTACAAATATGTTACTTCAGTGATCGAGCGATTTAAACAATATATAATCCTCTATATCACGTTATATAATAGTTTACACCCCGTATATACGCGCGAATAAACTACATAAAATTTTCGAAATTCTTAAAAGTTGTACATTATTTATTAAAAAGAAAGAAAGATAGGTAGAGAGGGAAAGAGGAAGAAAGAGTGAAATATATTTCATATTATAAATAATGTCGTAACGATACTAATAATTCATATAATTATTTGTATTTATATATTGAAATAAATTTGAACAAATTTAATTAAACTAAAATTAAAAATCTGAACATTAAATTAAATGTCTGCGCTGTATTTTTTAAATTTATAAATTCATTCTTTGATTTTATTATGCGGCGCATTTATCATGATGTGAATTGAAATATTTTAACTTATTTCGTTAGACAATCAAAAGAAGAACATAAATTTAATGAAATATAAATCATAACAAAGTTTAACATAACTATTAACGAAGAATGTTTTCATCGTATCAATTATGCAAAAAAGCTCTTCAATGGACGTGGCATTATTTTAGAAGGTATAACAAACAACGTGGAGCATGCGATATCTGTGATAAAAATTTCATCCTATCATCTATCGATACATTTGTAATATATCCTATAAGAATAATGCATAAAGAAATTTATACATAATGTTTCAAGTGTGCGGCCTTCTTATTCTATTTCAGAAAATATATTAAAATCAGATAATTGTACAAAGACTTATACCAAATTTTTTATATATTGTATATCTGAAGATATGAAAAAAACATAATTGAAACACACATGCCTAGAACAGCAAATATACTCCACACTTGGATATAAAATACATTTAAGGTCATTCTGAAAAGCAAGATTTGCGACAAATTTAATAAGATAAATAATTCTTTTAAATTAATGTGATATTTATTTCAATTTTTTTTCATAATATTTCTGCACCTCTCAAAAAGCTACCAAAAGAATAAATGAAAAACCGATAAATATAAATATTATTATTTAGTTTTTTTTAGTGATTAATATAAACTTTTGAAAATAAATGAACAAATATACTTAATGAATAAGAAAGTTAGTCTAGAAATAAACAAGGGTATGCGAGCCGAAGGCGAAAATTTGTGCGTTAGATAAGAAAAATTAATTTTTCCCCTATGTCTTATAATTGTGCACGAAGCACGGAATTTGCATAGTGCTTACAATAAAACTATTTAGGAATAAATCTCAACTTGATTCTCAATTTTAGAATCTCTATTTTAATTCCTAAGTTCCCGATTCAGTAACTTTAGGACCGATATACTTTGCTTTTTTACAACTTTTTAGGGGGATCAGAGGGAAACATAAAAATTAAAATCTCGAACTGAGATTTATTCACAAACATCCGCGATGAAGTCGCATAATCTGTTCATTTTGAATTTGCATTTAATCCATGGAGTTTTTATATTCTTATAGAATTTATATTTCTAGAATATATACATCCCGTATATACGCGCAAATAAAACTACATAATTTTATAGAATAGTCTTATATAAACTATGTACATACATCAATTATTAAATATTTGTATTGTAAGTCGACGATTTTATTTTAGCTGAGAATTTTATCTGTAAAGATTGCATATAAAAAAAAAGTAAATCTCTCTTTTTCTCTTTCTCTCTTATCAAGAAATTTTGACAATGCACAACACTGGAGTTTTAAACTGTAAAATATAAATACATGAATATTATTGGTAAAATTTAATATAATAATTGATAATTTGAAATGAAATAATTAATTAATCTTAAATAATACAAAATATAAATACATAAAAATTAGTAAAATTTGAAATAACTGATAAATTTGAAAAAATTTATTATTTTAATTCAGCTTATATAGAGAACAATAAATAAATAAAAAATGATAACAAAATAAATAATAAATAAATTATTTACCACGTTCTTTCAAACGCATAGGAAGAAACGGTTTGCTAGTTCTAAATTACATTTTCTGCGCATGCCGTGGCAAGTTCTTATACCTATATCTTAGTGAAAACAAGCAATAATGCTTCAAAATTTAAGGTCAAATTTTATAATAAAGAACAGAACGTCTACAGTGTGGAAAACGTCTCTCGTGTACATCAAACACACATCTGTGCTCTTCGTAATCGGCAGACGCATTTCTTGTACTGCGAAAAGCAAGGAATTACGCGAATAGTTTATTGCAATCACTTTAATTTACATTCCTTTTTTGTGTTTTGTTTCTCATAATGTCTGATTATAAGATAACGTACTTACCAGAGGAGATGATAAGCCACATTCTCGACGATAATGTACTCACTATTGAAGATATCATCAACTATCGATGCGTGTACAAGCAATTTCGTTATGCAGCCACATATGACAAGTTCTTCGAAAAAAGTTATCTCAAAGGTAATTCTTGCGGTTTGTAAATCTTTTTGTTATTTTGTCTCATTAACGCCTGTCGCACAATGTATATCACTTCTGCGAAAAACGTATATTATAAATAAATAATTAATAAAAAATATTCGAAAAATTAGATATGTTGCATTTATGTTGTATATTAAATTATTCGCTTTCATTTTTTTCTATTGCTCAATAATTTTGGCAAACTCTACCGTTATATATATACATATATAATATACATATATATATATATATATATATATGGAATGTAAATATATATACTGATAATAATTCTTAATTTTCAGCTACTTAAAATACTACATAAAAGTAACTTGGTTTATTTATTATAATGTGTATTCTTCAATATATTTAATTACATACATACACATAAGCACATTAATGTTTATTAATTGCATATAGAATACACTTACAGAATTATGCAATATACATATTAGAATCAAAATTTAAAAATATAAATTTAAAATTAAAATTGACTATTATATATTTTCTATTTTTGATTAAAGTATAAAAAGAAGTCACATATATGTACTCATGCTTTAAATTGTATACTTCAAAAAATTTATTAATTTGAAAAATTACTTGTGCAATCACATTGTTTACTATCATCAAAGTTTGCTGTGTGTTATCTAAATAAAATTAAATGGAAGAACTATGGCGTCATCTTATCTGCATATAAATAATAAAAATATGAATTATCTTTATATCTGCATTTTAGATAAAAAAATATTATCTTTAGTATATAATTTATCTAAAACAATTTTTAGATCATTTTGGTGTAGAATCATTGCACTTAAAAATACTTAAAGTAAACAGTAAAGCGATAAAAATTTATAAATAAAAATATAAATACATATATTATTGTATTCCTTTTATAATTTATGTGTTTTGTATAACTGTGTTTACGTAAGCAATCTTAAATATTATTATCTAAACAATTATCTAGATATATCGCCATATAAATATATATTTTGTCTAGATATACTTAAAACAAAATCATCTTTATCCTATCTAAGATGAATTACATACTTTTATCTCTCATCTTTATCTAGCTAATTTTAAAATAATCTTGACACAACACTAAGTATCATTATCAAAAATTTATTACAATATTTTATGGTCGTATTTTAGATGGCCCTATGCAAAGAAAAATATGAAAGTCTTAAGGAAACAACAGATAGAAAAAACATAAACTTTGTTACAGAAGGCATAATATCTGTGATTCAATTGCGAAATGATTTGTCTCAAATTCTTTTTTACGATTATTACAATAATAGAGCAAATCAAAATTACTTCGACTTAAGTGCTAATGTATTAACATTCGAAAATGTCATGAAATTCAGCGGTAATATCGATGAATATAAAAATCAATTTATTGTTCCTAAAAGTACACATGAGCATATACATGTGCTAAAAAATATGTTTTATATTGAGGAGTTTAAATTCTTGTTAACACAATTTCCACAGTAGAATCTTCATATATATTATAATGCTACTATTATTACAATTTAATGTATTTATTCATTAGTTAATAATTCAATATATACAAATTTTTTAGAGGAATTGATCGCAAATCAATCGAAGAATATTGCAATATAGAAATGTCTCACTATGAAAAGCTATCTTGGATACGAAATGAGTTAGACAGATATAGTGTGAAAGCTGAAGAAGAACAGCTTTTGGAAGAAATTTGTACTTTCATAGCACAACGTATTCAACCTCGAAAATATGTATGTTACACGAATATAAGTGCATCATTGGATACAATCGCACAAGAGATACTGAATTCTCTTAGAAAGAAGCATCCGAACCATTCGATATTCTTCACTTCTGATGAAACTTTTTCTTATTGGAAAACCAACAATATCGAAGATAATCATTGGAATGAAACAGAAAGCACGCAGATTATGGATACACTCCAGGAATATATATTTGGCACTTTGAATTTTCGACCATGTATCTCCTCACCCGAAAATATCAAATATTTGTGTATAGATTATGTAAGATATTATAGATTATAATACATATATAATTATGGACCATATATGTTTATGTTATATGTTGTTCTTAATATTCTGTCGCTTTGATTAATTTATCCTGTATTATACCTGGCATAGGTTTTACAAAGTAAATTTGGTAAAGATATCATTGTATATACAATATTTCATAGCGTGGCTAGAAGACTTGGTCTACGTTGCGATGTACGAGTACTACATATTATCGATAATTTCGATATATTTTGGAAACCAAAATTGTAAGTATAGATATATATTAGAATCGACATTATTATTATTTCTCAATAATCTTCCTTTTTTTTTTATTATACGCATGCATATATAATTTTTTATTATAAAAATGTTCATAATGATTAAAGTAATATTTTAATTGTTTACAGCGTCACGGATAATTTAGAAAATGCACGAAAATTTTACATAAAATACAAGGATTACCCGAATTGTCATACTGATAATCGATCATTAATTTGGGGACGAGTCTTAACAACTAGAAAGGTTGAAAATTACTTATTTAACTTACACTAAATATGTATAGAAAGAAGAGAAATGTGCAATTTCTCATTTTCTAATTTATAATTACATTTTTGTTTACATGTCGTCTTTATATTCATGTTTAATTAATTTTTTTAGATGTTGGTGTATACAACAAATATCGTTGCCGCATTTATAAAAGAACATACATATATAATAAGAGCTTTGCTTTTATCTGGAAATAATTAAATAGAGCTTTATATAAGAACTTCTGATATGATTAAAATGTATTTTATCTTTTGTAATCATATTATGATGATAAGTATTATGAGTGCAAATTATATACATATGATGCAAAATGTGAGTAATTATATTAATTTGAGCATATTTATGTATACTCATAATGACATTTTTTACAAACAGTTTCAAGATATCATATGTCCGTGTTTTGAGTAGCATATAAGCCTGCATCTGTATCTATTTTTGTCATCATGTTTTAAGAAATATGAGTACAATATGAGTAAAGTACATCCGTGCACTAACAATCGCATATTAGTATATAATATATACAATTGTAAAAATATTGAACATTGTGAGATTCTTTTAGATAACAATTCTTTTACATAACAATATGTATAATTTACAATTTTTTATAAATTAACGTGATTTAGTGTTTATTGAAACATTTACTCACAAAAAATCAATTAAAGTACAAATTTTACAGTTTGTGTCTTAGATTTTGTTTTAAATAGTAACACAAATAAATAAAAACGTAAAATATGCCATAGTTGCATGGATCAACATAATAGACAGATGTTATATTGACGCATATATATGTACATACATATATATGTTCGACTTTTGTAGAGAAATACTATGCCCTATTTTTGTATGCAATGTCAATTGAGAATCAACGACGAATAAAATGTATTTATCGTTCTCTACTATATTTATTGTATTTATTAATATAAACAATAAAATTAGAAAAATTGTGATTGCAAGAATTTGAATTGGTGCAGTAAAATTTATAAATTTAAAAATGTTTAAAAATTAATTAATTTATGAACTTCTTTTTAATACTTCAAGTATATGCAAAATATGACATAATTAAAATTTACCATTTATTAATATCTAATATTTTGAAACTTTTATAAACGATAGTGTTGCATTTGTATAAGTAAAAACAGGTATATTAATAAAAGACAATGATTATTATGTTTTGAAATATATATAATACTTTTAAGTTGAAGAAGACAATAAAAACGTATTAATGATATTAGATTTTGTATGATATATTGTATGATAATTGCAGATTTTAAAAATTTGTGCAAGATTCAAGCAAGACTTTAAAATTTGACTAATTCCAACAAATTATATCTTCTTTTTATGTAGAGAATATCTTCAATGGATGAGGCATTAGTTTAAGAAACATAACGAACAACGTTAAATATAAATTAAAATATATTAAAATGTGGTAATTGTACAAAGACTTATACAAAAAAAAATTTTTTATATATCTGAAAATATAAAAAACACATAATTGAGGAACACATGCTTAGTGATGAGACAGCAAATATACTCCGCATTTGGGCACAGAACACATTTAATGTCATTAAAATGTAACACTTTAATTTCCGTTTCTTTTAAACTTCTGTTAGGACACTCATCTTAAATTTTATTTTTCAAATATAAACTTATTAATTTTACAAATATGTTTCTTCAGTGATCGAGCGATTTAAACAATATATAATCTTCTACATCACGGTATATAATAATTTACACCCCGTATATACGCGCGAGTGAACTACATAAAATTGTCGAAATTCTTAAATATTACACATTATTTATTAAAAAGAACGAAAGATAAACAGAAAGAAAGAGAGGTAGAAAGATTGAAATATATTTCATATTATAAATAATGTCTTAACAATACTAATAATTCATATAAATATTTGTATTTATAAATTGAAATAAGTTTTAACAAATTTAATTGAATTAAAATTAATAATCTGAACATTCATTTAAATGTCTGTGCTGTATTTTTAAATTTATAAATTCATTCTTTGATTTTATTATGCGGCGCATTTGTCATGATGTAAAATATTTTAACTAATTTTGTTAGACAATCAAAAGAAGAACATAAATTTAATGGAATAAAAATCATAACAAAGTTTAACATAACTATTAACGAAGAATGTTTTCATCGTATCAATTATGCAGAGGATCTCTTCAATGGATGTAGCATTATTTTAGAAGGTATAACAAACAACGTGGAGGATGCGATATCTGTGATGAAAAATTACATCCTATTATCTATCGATACATATGTGATATATCATATAAAAATAAAGCATAAAGAAATTTATACATAATGTTTTAAGTGTGCGGCCTTCTTATTCTATATCAGGAAATATATTAAAATCAGATAATTGTACAAAGACTTATACCAAACTTTTTTATATATATCTGAAAATATAAAAAAACATAATTGAAACATACATGCTTAGAACAGCAAATATACTCCACACTTGGATATAAAACACATTTAAGGTCATTCTAAAACGCAAAATTTAATAAGATAAATAATTCTTTTAAATTAATATGATATTTATTTTAATTTTTTTATAATATCTCTGCACCTCTTCAAAAGCTACCAAAAGAGTAAATGAAAAACCGATAAATATAAATATTATTATTTAGTTTTTTTTAGTGATTAATATAAACTTTTGAAAAATAAATGAACAAATATACTTAATGAATAAGAAAGTTAGTCTCGAAATAAACAAGGGTATGCGAACCGAAGGCGAAGGTTTGTGCGTTAGATAAGAAAAATTAATTTTTCCCCTATGTCTTATAATTGTGCACGAAGCACGGAATTTGCATAGTGCTAACAATAAGATTATTTAGGAATAAATCTCAACTTGGTTCTCAATTTTAGAATCTCTATTTTAATTCCTAAGTTCCCGATTCAGCAACTTCTGGACCGATATATTTTGCTTTTCTACATCTTTTTAAGGGGATCAGAGGGAAACATAGTAACTAAAAAATCTAGAATTGAGATTTATTCACAAACATCCGCGTTGAGTTCGCATAGTCTGTACGATTATTCTGACGTATGGTAATTAAATCGAAAATTAGTTTTGCATTAATCCTTTCAAGAAAAATTGAATAATGTAAAATAGATATTTTCTATAGTCAAAGAGTGCATGATATATTGTCTTCCTGTCACTTATGCTTTAATTGCATTTGCTAATCTTTACAGTCTCCTTTTCGGAGAATCGAGGATAAATACGCTTGTTGTTTTTCTCTTAATAGTAAATTGAAGAGAGATTCCGGACCGCATTTCGAGAACAGTATATCCGATACCGACAGGCTTCTTTTACAGAAGGACGAAGAGATAGGAACGATATTATTAGTTTATTTAATTAAAATATATAATTATTTATATAATTATTTATACAAGATATTAAAAAATTAGACCGATAAAAAAATAAACGTAATAAAAAAAATACTAAAGATTTTATCAAGCTTTACGAGATTATATGTCAGTACGGAAACCCGGTAAAAATTTTTTATATATAATTATATATAAATAATTGTATAATTATACATATAATCGTAAAATTTATTTGGTTTAGAAAATATATTACGAGAAGTGCCGCAGAAAATTTATCTTGATCGGAAAACGTGAAAAGTCGAAGACTAACAGCAACGAAGACATAACAATTGTGACTACAAGAAATTCAAGCTTACCCTCGACTCGTTCAATTCTCAGAAGCAGCCCGAGCTCAGCCACGAAGACCACCTGCTTATCGCCGATTCTCTCTTCACACTCTATTCGCACAAACTCAAGCACACTCGCGACGCGATACACACGTACCGTTTTAAAATTTTACGACTCGGGAAAAAAACCTTCATTCTAGGCGAAGAATTTACGAAAATACACTAAACACGCGATTCTCGGGTTCGCGCAAATCCACGGTGAGATTGTCAACATGTTTTGCAGCGATTGTAGAGTATTTAAAAACGAGTCTGCGAACAAATTTAATAAAAACTTTTCTGATATGTTTTTCCGATTTTATACTCGCTCGCAGGCAATATTTATTTTCAATAGTTTTAATTAGTTTTATTAATACGTACGCGCCGCTTCTCAGTCCTTCGCGAAAACAAATATATGTGATATTCTTCCTTGTTTTCACTCGGCGCGTCTTTATCGCGACTGCGTTTTAGCAATAATAAGGTGTCGCTTGAATCGACGAAATTTGCGGCAAACTTCACTTATTCCTACTTGCGAGGAAGCGTCCAATTTCTGAAATTATTCCGAGCTCCGCCGCGACGATTGTCTATGTATCCTTGTAGACAATCATTTATTCCGACGCACAATACACATATACACTCGCGATGCATTACGCGTTTGCGTAGCTTGAAAAAAACTTCACTCAACGACGAACGACTTTCTCGCTCCTTTTCGCGACTGCGCGATTTTCACGTTTGACACGTGGCACCACTGACAGCTACTCGCGCACTTTCCGGTTGCACTGTTGAGAACACTGACTACGGTACGCGGCGCACACGTCGCGTTTGAAAAAGTTTACTTTCAACTTTATTAACAAAACCCGCGACGTATTTTCACATCGTTCCGATCGCGATTCGATCGACATATCAATCGTCACGCGTGTCCCGTACTTCCGCACGCGTCTGTCACTCGACTCGCGACAAAATACACGACAGATGCGAGAAAACGCGCGACGCGCGCGAGATCGTCCGACCGCGGCGGTAGCTCGACTCGAACTGCGCAGTCGCGCGCTGTCAGCTATCAGCGCGGCCAAGGTTATCGCACGCAGCACGTACGGAGCGCGCGCCTTAATGTTAATTTATAAATACGAATATTTATACGAATTATTAGTATTGTTACGACATTATTTATACTATGAAATATATTTCAATCCTTCTTTCTCTCTCCCTCCCTGTCTATCTTTATTTCTTTTAATAAATAATGTACATATTTGAAGAATATTCGACAATTTTATGTGGTTTTACTCGCGCGTATATACGGGGTGAAAACTATTGTATAACGTGATATAGAGAATTATAAGTCGATTAAATAGCTCGATTACTGAAGAAATGTTATTGTAAAATTAATAAATTTATTTTTGAAAAATAAAATACAAGATGAGTGTCCTAACAGAAGTTTAGAAGAAACGGAAACTAGAATGTTACATTTTGAATGACATTAAATGTATTTTGTGCCCAAATGTGAAGTATATTTGCTGTTCCTTCACTAAGCATGTGTTTCTCAATTATGTGTTTTTTCTATTTTTAATTAATTAATTATTAATTAAAAAATAATAAATTTATTTTGGAAAAATAAAACAGAAGGTTCGAGTGTTCTAATAAAAGTTTGATAGACACTGAAACTAAAATGTTACATTAATTTAATATATTCATTAGATTTATCATGTATTATTTTTACTATATACAATTTATATGTTGTATATAATAAAAATTATTAATTTATATAGAATTTTATAAAATATTTTTGATGCAGGAAAAAGAAAAAGAGAGAGATTTACATTTTTCAAATCTTGACAGATAAAATTCTCAGGTAAAATAAAAACCTCGATTTACAATACGAATATTTATATGAATTATATCGCTAAGATATTATTTAGACATTGAAATGTTTGCGGTAATACATATGGGCATCTAAATTTGCTGTGCCAAAGTTTGTTAAGTTTTGTGCGTTTAACAAAAATGAACGTCACGCGTTAAGTAAAAATACTTTTTCATTTTTGTTCCAAACTCATGTTATTTGCGATCCATATTTCTCTCTCATGCATGATTTACGCAAAATTATTACAACTCCAAATTAAAATAAAAAGTCGACACAATGCACAGCACTAGAATCATAAAGTGTAAAATATAAATATATGAAAATTAGTAA